TGGACAACTGGCTAAGAAAAGGACCATGTAAATTTTGATGTAGAAAATGTAGAGGTAAGTGTGCACAGTACTAAAAAAGCAAATTTTGGGGAAAGAAGGTTATAAAATGAGTATCCAATAAAAACTATGACTTATCACAGAGAATATTTGTTCTCAGTTAGTCAACTTTGTAGGAAATAACACAGTTTAGATATTAACTTTTTTTCTATAATCTCATGTTTGAGTATGAGGATAAGTTATACCTGGAAAGATCACTGGTGAAATATATAATTCACTTGTTTGAGTATAAGTGTTTCAATTAATAATGAATGTGTAGAAGTTTTATATTATTTAAAAAAAAAATATTTCCATGCTGTGACAGGAGCTCTATCAGTTAAGGAAAATAAGAATAGAACAACACTTAGAAACTGTCTAATATAGATCTTTTGCCCTTCATTCTGTAAATCATAAAAATGTAGAAGCTAGATACAATTGTGTGATGGAGAGTGCTGAAAAGTGAGGATCTGTTGGAATATAAAGATTTTCCTTTCGTTCTTTATATTTTTCATTGTCCTGTTAAATATTTACATACTTAAAGAACATCTCACAACCAAGTAAAATGTTAACTAAGGTCAGATTTTAATCAATAAGATGAGAGAGACTAGTCGCAGTGTCCAAGATCAGTAAGATTTCATCATACAATAGACCCTTTCTTCCTATAGCTTATGAAGGTTTCTTCTTAGTTCTTTGGTGACAAGAAAATTGTAACTATGTTGTTTAAAGAAAGGAACAGAAGAGACTAAAGTTTAATTATACTGTTCCATTTCCCTTGCAGCTGTGTCCCATTAGCTACTGAGCAATGGGAAAGTTCTCTGTAATCTTTGACCCTCCCACCAATACAGTCTTCTGCAAACTGGTAATTACAATCAATTGTAGGCCACTGTGTGGGGAAAGAGCCACTTTTTTTTTCTCTCTCTCTCTCTCTCTTGCTGAGGCCTATGAATTAACTTTACAGTGAAACTATTATTCTTCAGTTTTGGGCCTGAAGCTACTAATAAACTTAAGATATATGGTTGTGTTTAATATTGTAATAAGTTGCTAAGAATTGTGATGTTTCCTAACTCTAATTCTCATCATTGGTGGTTGATTTTTCATGTGTAGGCATATTTTTACATGTTCTTTGGCATCAGAGCATGCAAAACTCCTATTGAAATTTCCATAACAGAAAGAATAATAGCAGGTAAAAGTTAACTACATTTTTAAATGCAGTTAATGTATTAATTCATCCCGTTCTCACAATAAACTTACAAAGTAGGTACTAATATTTACTACCTTTGGTAACTGTGGAAGTGAGACCCAGAGGAAAGGGTATTTCCTCAAAGATACACAGTTATGAAGTGCTGGATCAAAGAGTTGTACTCAAGTCATCTAGCTTAGAGTTCATCCACTTAACCAGTGTGCTGTACTGCCTCATTACATATTGGGATCTTTATGGAACAATAACAAATTCATTGGAAAAGAGCTATTATAAAAATGAGAATAAACAGGTAGAGTTAGTACTTATTATACTGTGAACAGCCCATGGGGATCAATAGTATTGTACTGACTGCCTCATCTCATTTAGCTTTAAAAGGAATGTAACTTTCCACTGAGGATGCTGTGATTTATCAGATTCTCATTCTACACCCACTGCAATGTGATAAAGACAAGGTAAATGGCTTAGGTCCTGCAGTTCAGTTGTAAATGCCTCAGATTCTGTCTCTCTGTGTAACCCTCCCAGTGCAGCACCAAGCAGATGCTTGAGCTCTGAGTGAAGTATGGAGGAAAGACACATAAAAGGAGTTCAGCATCACATCCTCCCAATTTTCTGGGGTTCACAGCAGCTTGTACTTGAGAGGAGGAAGGCATAACCCCTTAATCTGTTAGAGATACTTACGATGTAATACTAACCAAAGCTTATAACCCCTCCTTAACCAGTCTGGCATAATTGGTAGGGCCAAGTGCAAAATAAAAAAACAGGGCTTCTTGTTCAGAAAGTATTAAGAATTTCAAAACAGCAGGAACAGAACATTAAGCCAAGCCTGGAATCCTTCCGCATCCTTCTTCTATGGAACTGATAATTCTAAGACTTGCAGTAAGAGAAATGTTCTCCACCCCATCCAAGTCTCTAGTACATCCAAGTCTCTTGTTCCTATTAGGTAGTATAGAGACAAGATGGGCCAGCAGCCCATTCATTCCTTCCTAGTCTCAGACCTGGCTTGTCGTGGAAGTACTGAAAGGGAGAATAATCTGACCCGTAGCTGACCCACACTTTGATCATTCTTTATGGCTTTGTAAAAACTTGTTTTCCAAATATGGTTTAGAAAAACTTTTCTCATTATTCCCTCCTTCACAAAAGACTGCAGGATTAAGATAGCTCTATCAGTGATCTGTCATTCTTCCACTTTGTCAGAAACTAGAAATAAACATTGCAAAGATCAGTTCCGGGAAATACATTTTAAAAGGCAGAAAATTGTATGACAGTTCAATGCATCTTCATTCTAACCTTTCGTCTGTATCTCTGTAAAAAGAGAACTTGCCCGTTTTCTTTCTTGGAGCTGCCTATTTCTTAGTCACCTTTATTTTTTTTTTTTCTTTTTGACAGCACTTTTCTAGGAAGTTTATCTTTTATTAGCTTTTAGCCCTCCAGTCATCATGCACTGCAAAATCCTCTGGGGCATGTTGAACTTTTATTCTAGTATTGTCTCTCCCTCAAAGTGTTATCGCTACATTTTTTTTTGAAAGGCTGTCCCCAGCTTAATATCTGAAGGTTAGTCTCCAAAAGAACTTTTTAATCACACCCGCAGAGAACTCAACCAGTAGTATTACTATTCTAGTCTCATATTTATGAGTTTAATTAGCTTTGTTAGATATATACCAGGGAAACTTCGTCCACTAAAGAGAATTTGTTGATAATTATTTAAATCCTTTTAACAATATACCTGAATATGCTCATAATTAATTAAATACAGTGTTAAGAGAATAATTTAAAAAATGTACCTTGATTATTTGTGCACATATGATTAATATAAATGTATATTTTATTATATTATATTAATTTCTCTGCAACTGTACACCTGATATCTACTGAGTAGCTGAGCATATCAATAGTATGTTACAGATTGTCCTTAGTAAAAGGGTGCCACTTTAGATATGAAAACACTTTGAAAAATTACATTAAGGTCATGCTCTCAGAAATATTATTGCATGGTTCAGGCAGAATTTAAACGTTATTTAAGTTAAGCAATTGAATTAATAATATCAGTTAAACATTTATGTTATTGCCCTGAAGGCAGTGGAAGTCTTTGAGGCTCTTTAGCACAGAATGCACAAAACTGGAAAGTTATAAAGGAAGGTTTATTTTCTTTGCTGGGCTGCAACTAATTGCATTAAGATAAAACAAGTACTTTGGCCAGCTTTAACTCTCATGGAAGAGTAAACAATCCAAACATCAATCTTTTGATGTAGTTATGTACCTATTACCAGGTTTCTTTTTAAAGTCCCTCACAAATTTGTATGCCAATTAAGCAGTATTAAAAAAGGAGGATATTGTTGGGGGGTGCTATTTTGTATTAATCCTAGGAAATGACACTGGGACTTCTTCCCGTTATTGTCCAGTAGATTAAATGACATTTTTCCCCAGTTGACTCAGGTAAAAGTGCCAGGTTTACTTTCATCTTGGACTCTATACTCTTTGAATGAAAGCGAGACCAAACAGTGCCCTTTCAGGCTGAAGATGCCTTTCTTCATAATGTCATCCATTAGGGAAAGGTTTATGAAAAGGTCAGTTTTATCCCAGTGTAAAAAAGTGCTGGCAATCCATGTAAAGTCACTTCTTGCTGCTTAGAAGTATCTTCATTTCAAGACTTGTTGCAATAATTTTCCCATCAGATAGGTTTGAAATATCAAAAATGGTATAGAGATAGATTCAAAATTAAATGACATATATCTTTTTACATATTTTTTTAATTGCAGTAGGTTGCTATACATTATTATATGGGTTTCAGGTATACAGCACAGTGATTCAACATATATTACTAAATCCTCACTCCAACTAGTATAGTTACTATCTGTCACTACAGAAGGATGTTACAGAACTATTGATTATATTCTCTATGCTGTAGTTTCATCTCCATGACTAATTTATATTATGATTGAGATTTTGTGCCTCTTTATCCTTGTCACTATTTCACTCACCCACCCCAACCCCTACCCCATGGTAATCACCAATTACTTCTCAGTGTCTATGAATCCATTGCTGTTTTGTTCATTTTATTTTGTTTTGTTTTCAGATACCACATGTAGCAAAATCATATGGTATTTGTCTTTTTCCACTTGGCTTATTAAAATATATTTCATTTAAAATAATGTAGTTTTAAAGAATGAAGGAAATAGTCTTAAACAGGATAGAGATGAAAATCTATATCAATCTAAATTCAACCACACTCTAAGTGTTAATTGAAGTGAATGTAAAGAAAGATTTATTTATCATGGTTGCGGCCAAGAAGAAAATCAATCAATAAGATACTATGAAGTTCACAGTGACTAAGAAGAGTGGGAACCACGAACATCTCTAGGTTTACAGGGGTAACATGATGGCATCTTCCATTGACTAAACAAATGGATAGCAAGGATGGAAGCTTACATTAAACATTAGGATTTCTGACTTCAAAAGAGGGAAGAAAAGAATAGAAAATTAATCAGTGGAAAATGGAGCAAAACCAGTGCCTATATATTATGGTTTATTTTTTATGAAACTGAACCCTGTATTTTAACACACATACCTTTTTTTAGCATCCTTCACACTTTTTGAATAGAAGTCTAGAAACAGAAGTCTACCAAGATGAGAATAGGTTGAAGAAAAAAATAGTTTTGTTGAAAAAGACATTGTCTATATATTGTTCTATATATTTAAATGAAATCATTAAATTGTTAATTACATTATTTTATATGCTTCACATTATTGATACTAAGATGTCCTCTAATAATATAAACAGTCTGCCATTTTTATTTTTTTCCTCTTGGTACATTAATTACATACTTTTATTTCTTTGAGATGGTAAAATAACAAAAATTAGCCCCACATCAAAGAACCAGACTGGAATTTTTATTTACTTCATCATTCCTTGCTATGATATTAATAAAAATGAGCAATTCAACTGATGTTTTTGACTTCTATTCTTGAATAAAATGAAAACTGTACAAACCCCCATGTTGAAAATTCCCATATTACAGAGATCTCAAAATAAGAAACACTGAGTTACCTCAGCTACTTCAGAAAGAAAATCTCACCTTCACTTACTTTCAACACATTTATTGCTATCTACAGGGCATATAATTGTACATAATTTCTGTGCTCAAATTAATTAAAATAAGATAAGAATTAAAACTTAGATGAGAAATTTCACCTTAATATAATTGAGTAATAATATAATGCAAAGTAAAATAAACCCTATTATAGGAACAAAGCTCACATTTTTGCAGTTCTTTCATGCACCAACCTTCTCTTTAAATGATCTTTATTTAGCATGCCTCCCTTTGAAAGAAGATCATATGATAGGCTGTATGACCTTGCTAAGGAGCAGTCCCAGGCTACAAAAGAGGGAGAATCAAATTGTAAAATGTAATACTGCTTTTAAAATTTGGCTTTAGGCTGATAAATCAGGATATGGGAAGACAGACATTGAGAGAGACAGATCCAGAATCCTCTTTCTCTAGGACTGATCAAATACTGGTATGATTCTTCAAATATCAATTTTGAGATTTACCTGCACATATTTCTACAATGATCTGATATGCATCTGCTTAGGTGAAGTAACAGAAAGTTAACATCTTTAATTTGTAAGCTAAGTACTGATAAATCTAGAGTAGCTCTAAAATAATTTTAAGAAACTTCACTCTTTTTTGTCACAACTCCAAAATCAGGACACTAAACTGCCCCATAACTCCAAAAAACTACCTTGAATCATACAATTATGGTCACACACTGCCCCACACATACCCTACTGATAGATTCTCTATCATTATAGTTTAGCTATTGGCAAATGTCATATAAATCAACTCAAAACATAACAATATATCATATAAACATCTGAGATGGACTTTTTCCAATCAGCATTATGTCTTATAGATTGGTTCAAGTTATTGCATGTATCAACACTTTGTTGCATTTTGTTATTGTTTGTAATTGCTGAGTTTGGTGTAATTATGGGTAGATTTGCTCTAGACATTTATGTACTGTTTTTGGGTCATCATAAGTTTTTACTTTTCTGGATTAGATGACAGTGACATTACTGAGTCATATAGCAAATGTACATTTAAGCAACTACCAAACTGTTCTCTACAGTGACTATCCCAATTTGTGTTCTCTTCAGTAATGGTTGATAAATCTGTTTGCTCAGCATACTTTCAAGTATTTGGTATGGTTAGTATTTTTTATCTATTCTAATAATATGTAGATAGCTCATAATGGTCATAATTCATATTTCCCTTTAAGAATAATGATGTATAGAAATAATGTTTTCTTTAAGTAGTTGGTTAATTTTACCAGTGAAATCATCTGAGCTGGTAATTTCTTTTTTGGAAGAGTTTATAAATTAAATTTAATAGCTGTAGAATTTTCTCTTTTGTTCTGTTGGGTCTTATTCTATTATGCTTGACAATAAGTGGTCCCATTTCATCTGAGTTGCCATATGTATGTGGCTATAGTTGTACACATTCCATTGTTAAACTTTCTCTTCACAGTCTTTTGTGACATTCCTTCTTTCAATACTGATGCTGGTAATTTCATTTTCTCCTTTTTTTGTTAATATTGCTAAAGGATTATCAGTTCTATAGATCTTTCCAAAGAAGCAGCTTTTGGTTTCATTGTTTTTCACTAATGAAAGTCTGTTTTAAATTTCATTGACTTCTTTCTTTATTATTTCCTCTTTCTGCTAATCTGGATTAATTTGGTTCTCCACTTTCTCCTTTATTCTAAGTAGAAGCTTAGATTATGGATTTGAAATCTCTTCTGATATAAACATTAAATTTTACAAATTTCCCTCTATGCATTGCTTTACTTGCATTCCACAAATTTTGTGTTAATTTCGATTTTTGTTCAGTTCAAAATACTTTATTATTTCCCTTGAGTATTTTTTCTCTTTAACTATATGGGTTATGTAGAAGTGTGTTGATTAATCCAAATTATTGACTATTTTCCTGTTATTTTTGTTATTTTCTAGTTTAATTTCATTATGGTCAAAGATATATGTTTTGATTTAAAAACATTGTTATGGCTTGTTCTTGATACAGAAGATGATCTTTTTGGAGACTGTCTTGTGCACTTGAAAAGAATGAATATTCCATGGTGGTTGGGTATTAGTCTTTAAACATCAATTAGTTTCAGGTAGTGAAGGCTATGTTCATTTCTTCTGTTGCCTTCTTGATTTTCTACCCATTGATTCTATAGGTAACTGAAAGGAGTGGTGATTTCTCCATCTATGATTGAAGGTTGGTCTATTTCTCCTCTTAATTCTGGTAGTTTTTGCTTCACATATTTTGAAGCAAATATATGCATTCATATTTAGGATTATTATATCTTGAACTTGCTGATAAGAATCAGATCTACTCATGTGCAGCTTGGGGCTCCATCCAAGAGTTTATAGAAAACTTAATGGTATTTATTGCCCGAGGCTATCCCTCTAAAAGCTCTCCTTGGTACTTTATTGTTTCCTGGAGGTCCCCTTTATTTTCCTTTAGAAAGAGAGCTAGAGCTATATTGACTGGCTGTGTTGCATAGTTCTGCGTCTGGACCACATCTGAAGCAAGCCATTGGGAGAGAGAGAAAAAAGCCACACTGTGGTTTGTATTTGTCACACTTTTTGGAAGATAGCTCCACCAATCAAAGAAGAAAGTTCCCTTCACTTAGAGAACCAAACTCTGGATCCTATGATTTTCCATCACCTGCATCCATATTTTTCAATTGCTTAGGTACTAGAGCATGAGAAAATGGAGAAAATAGTTAAATCGGTTGGTAGATTCTATATAAGTCTAAAGAACTCCTTTTTCAATAACCTGAGTTCAAACTAGAATGCTTCTCTAGAACTTTCTTTGCACCCAAATGCCACTTCTGGGTTTCCTACTGCAGTGTGCTCAGGCTGGAGGATACTGAAGGAAGGAAGTGGCGAACTTCCTGATGATATAGTGTTATTTCAAATCCTGATATTCTTCCCAAATATGTGTACCACCATTTACTTTCAGTTCCCAAATAGATACTACATGCATCCTGTCCAGGTTTTATAGTTTCATTCAATGGGAGTGAAAGGGTGGAACAAACTTATTTCATTTTACCAAACACCCCCATTCCACACACTGAAAATTGCATACGAATTAAATTTTTACAAAACAAAATTCATTTGCCAATGAAAGTAAGCAAATGCAAAGAAAACCAAGAAAATGCTATTTGGGAAGATTTTATCATATTTAAGCTATATTGAAAATAATTACCTCTGTTTGTATTATTTGTATATCACCATTCAGTTTACAAAGTCTTATCTAATTATTTTCTCCTCTCTTAACCCTAATCAATAAAAAAACTAAACCATTTGAAATAGTTTGATGGGACTTTGTGATAGAGTATAACACACTCTTTACAATGAATTTAATTAATCTTTGAGATTTAGATACTCAGATTTATTGCCTATCAATTAGGTAAAAGTTGGACAATTCATATTTGGATGTATCCATATTTTAAAAAATCTAAAATTTGCAAAATTAATTTGCAAATTATAGATATAATATCAAGCAAGCTTTTATAAGGTAACATTCAACTTTCTACATTTTATTAGAATGGTCTCCAGATTTCTAAACAAAATGTTTTTAAACAGGTTGGCTACAATTTGTTCGGATTTTCTCTGATTTATTTTGAGAACTTTATAAATTGCCTTTTTTCACTATTCCTCGCCAATAAGAAGTAAACTTTTACTAAATCTACTTTAGGGTAATAAAAAGAAAATACTATACAACTCTTTTAAGAGTTTCTATTGATCTCTTTTTGAATTTTTTCTAGGTTTCTAGCAAGTAATAACTTCTTAGAACCACTGCAGGTATAATGTTGGATCAACTTAATATCTGTGAAGGAGTTAGTAGATATATAATTTTAGTTCCGCTCATAGATCTTTTGAAGAGTGTGAACCTACTTATTTAGGACAATTCTAGATAGGTAAAGTAATTGATCGCAGGTGAAAACAAATAAGTCAGCGAAACAGTCTTTCATTTTAAATTGCTTTATAATACAAGATTGAATAGTGTTCAGTTTATATACTGAGGGAAAAACAAATATTTTTAGATCGTTAATAGCTGTCAGTTATAATCACTCTAAAATCTGTTGTATTTCACTACACTTTTTTTTTAAAAGGGTGAGTCTCCATTATGAATTACATATTTTGGGTCTGGCAGATAAAACAGCAGGTCATAGGGGATCTTAACAGGTATGTGAAAAGAAGGGACACAAGGACAACATTGTTAACACCCAATTTTCTGCCTGTTTTTTCTTACTGTTAATAAGCAGACAATGTTTAAGATTCATATTTTTGGCTTCATAGTTTTACAGAAGCAATCAGAAAGAAAAGTTCAACAGACATTTTATTCTTGATATTATGCTTATTAAAAAGAGTCTGGTCTCCATAACCCATATAGAAATGAATTTCAGTACCAAGTTCGTTACTTTTTGTGATCTTGGACAAATCTGAGTCTCAGATTTTTCACCAAAAGCTAGTGAATAATAACATTTACCTCATATGGCCACTACACTGGTTTAGAAAGTGGTTGAAAGCACTAGAATGGAACCTAGAATGGAGCAAATACAATTTTTTTAAAGCATCAGGTTGATTCATAACATTTGTGTTTTCTTTAAATGTAATTAACTAAATAGTAATTAAAGTTCAATAAGTGCTATGATAATTTAGATTCAAACTCACAACTGGCTCACCCTAAAGGAAGCTAGTGATGTTCAAAAGGAAAGCAAATGGATTAAGGAGCAATGGAGCATGGAGATAAAGAGCTGAAGAACCTTAAAGTGACTTGCCAGTGAGTTCCAAATTGAACTTGGCACTGTTGACTTTTTGACTGAATGTAATAGCATAGCATAGATATGTAAAATATCTAGAAGTCCTTAAACTTTTTTTTCTATTACAATACATATACAAAATATTTACATGCATGAATGAAATAATCCTATAAATTCACCAGATTATAAAATGAAGAGGCAAAAAGGACCACAAATTATGTCAATCTTTTGTTCTCTATCTCTTCCTTTTCCATCAAAGAAAATTCAGAGAAGTATACATGACAGAAAGTGGTTGTTATATGCACCGACTAAGGAGTACAGTTTCACAGTAACTTAACTGTAATTATTACAGTTATTTGATCAAACCCACAGTAGACTGTGAATACTACAGTTATGTACCACTACTTCAAGGACAGAAGGCATATTAAGTGTCATATAATTTTAAAATCTTACTCTGTGATTATTTCATTTTATCATTACTGTTTGTTATAATATATAGTGATTTTATTGCTTGCAGAATTATCACTCTGACTTTATTACATCTCATTTACCTGATACTATTCAGACTTCTGAGCTTTACTACCTGTTGAAAAGAATGGCATCTTGTGACAACTCCTTTGAATTATATATTCAATAAGAGTCTGAGGTACTTGTATCTTCACCTAGTTTGTATTACATTTTTATTTTATTTATTTACTAATTACTAAGAGTTTATTTTGCACATAAAAAGCATTCACAAACTGGGAGCTCTGAAAGCAACAGTGGAATGAGGCTCAGAGATGTATTGCTTTTTTGTTCTCTTTTTTAATTTAATTTAATTTTTAACATATATTTTTTATTGAAGAATAGTGGGTACACAATATTGTAGTGGTTTCAAGTATACAAAACAGATATTTGACAGTTATATACACTATTAAATGCTCACGCCAACTAGTGTAGTTACTATGTGTCAATACAGAATTATTATTGACTATATTCTCTGCACTCAACTTCATCCCCATGACTAATTTGTATCAGTTTTGTTATTTTGTTCTGTTTTTAGATTCCACATGTAAGTGAAATCATATGATTTTTGGTCTCCCTCTATTGGGGAAGGTCATCCTCTTCCACTGAGTGGGCAGCTTCAGGTCGGATGCACACGAAGAGGTGAGGAAGAAAAGGGCACCCGCCTAGCCAGCCAGGTCAGCCACAATCAACCCTGGTGATCAGTGGGGTGACAAATGCCGCAGCCAGATCACTCTCACATCCTGTATTGTATGTTTATTTAATTTGCATTTAACTCTTTTAATCTACCTTTTCAGGAGCAATGTTGAATTCCAGAACAAATTAAATTAAATGAACCCCACCCCCTGCCATATTGGTGCAATATATCTATGAACAATGTGAATCCTGCTGCTCCAAAGCTATGGGCTCTTGGTGGGATTAGAGAATATTTCTCCCCATAGTGATTATCTCTTACCTGAGAACTCTGCCAGTAAAAGTCAAGGAGAAGAGCGTCACTGGATCTCTTTTATCACTATCATCAACACCATTATGATGTGCTGAATCAGTTCCAATTTTGTCCTCTTTTAAAAGTCACTGACACAACAAAGAAATTGATGTTTTGATGAGCATATCATATCAGAGCTACCAAAGTGAGGAAAACACATTCCTAACATCATTTTTATAGAACAAGGAAATTTTTAAAAGAATTTTAAGTCATTGCCAAAGAGAATTCTATCAATCATTTGCTTAACCAATGCCATGTGTGAACATCAAGGCCTGCTTTTCAAGTTAATCAGTACTCATATATTTGATAGTCACTCAGCAAATATTTACTTATGCTTGCTGTGGGTCACACACTCTGCTGGACATTACTGCTGTGATGTCTTTGAGCTGAGAGAATTTCTCAAGTCAAATAATACCCAGGAGGCAGAGAAAAATTCATCATTTGAATACAAGAAATGAAGTTCATCTGAAAACCTTAATCTATTACCTTCAAATAAAGATTTTTTTTATGTGATTTTGCATACATATTCTTCTTTGGGAAAATACTTAAAAATTACATCCAAAGCTGGATGACTAGGCATGTTGGCATTTGATAGCCTCAGTGTGACAGCTGTACTCATGCCATGCTGCTTCTTTTGTATTTTAACATTTTACCATTTTCTTTTTCTGGCATATATGTATTCAAGAATAAGTTTTTAATGACTTGTTTATTTTTTTATTTGCTTTCTTTTTGGAAGGGGTGATAGCCATGTACACTTCTGGTGTTTTGCTTCAGGGAGGTGAAACTGGCTAACTGCTATTCTCAGAGGTTGCTTCCACTCAAACCCTGAGTATTGTGGGTAGGGAGCTGGACCAAGCATAATTCCTGCTGTAGCAATTTTCAGCAAATTGTTCTCCTAAAGAGAAATATATTACCTGAAGGCTGGAAATGTGATGATAAACCTGACCCTTTAGCTCTTCGATTAAAGGTCATTTTGGTTAAATGTAGGCAAATGGTGGTACAATGTGCCTTTTACTTGCTGTTTTTCACTTATATCTCCCCTCACACCTCATTATGCTAATGTAATGACTTATTTGACATAGTAGTTGCATCCATAATCTGGGAAATATATAATGGATTTGATTTTCAAGGTTATATTTTCAGAAAACTATTAATGTCCCTTTCAAAGTCATTGAGACTGAATTATGTTTCAGCAAAATATTAAGTACATTAAAGGTCTCTTTTAGATTTGAGTAAAGTCAATTGGCATTCCAGTTGCAACTATTTAACAGCTTTGAGTTCTGAATTGTTAAACTTATTATGAATTATCCATGTTAACCATTATCCTGAAAAATTAAATCTCTCTGACACATTCAAAGTTCATCAGAGACTGTCACCAAAATAACTATGGATTTTTTTTAAGCTGTCAGAGCTTTTCATTTTTAAATGTTCATTAGGTAATGATCCCTCAATATTCAGCAAATATTCTTACCTGAATTGAATAAGATTGACTATTGTTAAAAACTAACTTTTTAAATTTCCAGTAGCACATAAGTATTTGTGCATACCATCTCTCTCTGCATGCTTGTAACCAGAACTACTTAAATTTACATGCATAGTATTGAAAAATCACCAACAGCAGATGTTAATAGTGATTGGGCCTTTAATTAAGCACAAAACCTTCTCAGTTTGGGGATGGTCTGTTGCTCTTCAGCAACAAGAAGGCGAGGGAACAAGCAGGACCAGCCTGTTATCCCCGGGGCTGAGCAAGAGGGCAAGTGTCGGTGGCTTGGACACCCTCCCCTGAGATCCGCAGAAAAACAAAACCACACCAAGCCGGGAGATGTGTCAGCCTCAAGGGCACAGGAAAACTCAGCTTTATTCCATTAGAGGCTTAGTTATATAGGGGAAGATAAGGAAGTAACAGAAACCAATGGGAATTGATTATCTCATCTGTCACTAGGGTCTTTAGGCAGGTTTCAGGTTAGGTGGGAAGGCCAAGAGTGCGCGCGCGGGAAGCTAGTTAGGCCACGAACGCGGAAGTAACGATGGAGGATGGAAACCTCCAGTCTGCGGCCGTCACAGGCCTAAAAGAGGCAAAAGGTCCCAACAATTCCCCCTTTTCGTTTTATAAATGCTCTGGGATGTCCCGGCGGTCAAGGCCCCTATCTTAGGTTGACCCCCTCTGGGGATCTTATCTGTCACTGGGTACCTTGCAGCTCTTTGGTTGTCCCAAGCTTACTCATCCTCCGTGGCCTCTCTTAGGTTGTCCCCACCTTGGAGATCTTACCCGTCATGGGTGCGCGGGGAGATAGTCAGGGGGAATTAACGGACACAGCCTCATCATAAGGTTCACAGTGATCGTAGGGGTCACTGGTTTCCGTGGCAACTCTCTGGTAATGTACCTGCACGCACATCAACTGAATTGATTCAATTATTTTTTGGACAAACTGGATAATCTTGTTAATAATGCAGGGCCAAAAAGTGAAAAGTAGGAACAAAGAAGGATAGGACCAAGGAAGGGCAGAGTATAGGGCAACCACCCATGTAACTCAGTCCAAAGAAAATTGGCTTGTATTTCTTTTTCGCATCTCTCAAGGTCTTCTTGAAGTTGCTTGACCTTATTTTGGACTATGCTGGAGCAGTTCGCATAAAAGCAGCACTCTTCCTGTAAAAAGAGACATAAGCCTCCCATTTCAGCTGTGAGGAGATCAAGCCCCCTATGGTTCTGTAGGACTACTGTCGCGAGGGAATCCAATTGTGCTTGGAGGTCAAGAATTGTGCTGGCTACAGCTTATATATCATCGATCATCTGTTGAGAAAGAGCTTTATTATAATGCAGAGAGGTCCCCAATCCTGCTGCCCCAGTGGCAGCTCCAGTGGCCACCTCAAGGCCTATAAGCAGGGGGATAACTTGGATGGCCCTTCTTGATCTACCTCCAATGTGGTCTAAAGCAGGAATAGGGAGGCTCTGATTATTAGGGACCACTCCAATGTCAGGGACAATTACAGCTGGAGCAAGAAGCCCCATCCAGTCTGTCGGGAGAAAGCCAAATGCGTCTTCCCCACAAATGAAGACTGTTCCATTAGGGGGACAGAGAAAGGTATTATTCACAGTAATATTTTGTTGGCAAAAAGAATAGTGGATTCGACCTACATCTATCCTACTAATATTATCAGTACGGGGGTCAGCTTTGAAGCATGGACCTTTAGGGGAAAGAGTGTCTAGATAGAAACTTGGGGGTAACAGCTGGCACTGGGGCTCGGTCTGTGACAGGTTAACAAGAAGAGCATTGGCCCGTAATGGTCCTGGCCTCAAGCACAGCCAGCAATCCTTAGCTAAATCGGGATTGGTTCTGTTGAGTAAGGTCAAAGCAGCCTGTATGATTGATTGTGTTTCAGGATCAAGAAGCAATTCTCCCCTGATCTCCAGGAGGCTAAGAGGGTGGTAAATCAGGGGATTTTGGTCTTCAATCAGCCTGTCTACCAGTTTTTTAAATTTTGTGCTGTCAAGCCTGATCTTGGACTCTGCCCTCATCAGAGGCACCTATAGGGGCAAATTTATTCCAGCAGATGTTCTCTCCCCTATTCTTTCAACAGTCAGCATATTCATCCTTGCCTTTTATCAGAGTTGCATACCAGTATGTTTTGTTCCGGTGAGTGCAGGGGATAACCTCCTGATACCATTGAGCATGAACAGAGGCAAGAAAAATGGTGCAAGGACACTCAGAGGGGGATTTCCCTTGGGCAGGTGAAGATATTTTGGGGCCTGGCCAACAATGGTGAGAGAGAACTCTCCCAGGCCATCCATTTTCTGTCCCTTGCATAAATGTAACTGCCCATTGCCCATTAGGGCAGGTTTTGATAGCAGTGTAACAGCGTGTGGGGGGAGGGGCCTTGGAGTGAGTGCAGGCTGTGCAGGGGTCTCTGATGATTTTTCGTAGCATGGCTCTTGCTTGACCGGGATCTCCAAATCCTGTCCTAGCTAATGGGAGATTTATTGCCATTAACAGGAAAACGAGCATCATTGGGTTCATTGCAGACCCTGAAAGAGAGAAAGAAGAGAGATATCCTCAGGAGGTGGGGGGCCTCTGGGTCATCATTGACATCAGTGAACTCCCCCTACTTAGGGGGGTAATACTTGAGATCCCTTGCGGGGACCCAGATCGGCCTTTTTTCATTGGTAGGAAAGACACAGCCGAATCCCCTTCCAGCTGTAATGAGGGGGTCTGGGCCCCTCCATTCTCCAGTAAGGGGGTCCTTCCATCAGGCTCTAATCATCCAATAAGTAACAGGTGTTGTCCAGTGCTTTTGGAAAGGGCGAGAAGTGTTCACCTTTGGCAAAATTTAAAATATTTAGAGTAAATAATGCCATCTTTAGTTGATCATGGGAGGGAGTGACCTTTGAGGATATGATTATGTTTTTCTATGATAGATTGTCCTTTAGGGTTATAAGGAATTCCAGTGGTTTGAGAAATTTGCCATTTACTCAAGAATTCAGTAAAGATCTACTGATTAAAGCAGGGACCATTATCGGTTTTGATTTGACCTGGCAAGCCAAGAAAAGCAAAGAACTGGAGAAAATGGATTATAGAATGTTTGGATTTTTCTCTTGTATGGGCTGTATCCCAACAAGCATGTGAGAAGGTATCAACTGTTAGGAATATGTATCTAAGCTTCCCAAAAGGGGCAAAATGTGTGACATCAGTCTGTCAAATGTTATTGGGCCTCAGGCTTTGAGGGTTCATTCAGCCCTTTTGAAGCGGAGGAACCTGTAGAAAGGGCTGTCAAGATTTACATGTTCTAATGATCTTTTTTAAGTCTCTGATGGGGGCTTGGGGGAACCGATGGTGTAGTCCCCTCCAATTAGCATGTGTAAGTTGATGAAAAGAGGTGGCCTCCTGTACCATGTACGCTGAAGGTAGTCGGTCTGCAAGAGCATTGTCCCTCAACAAAAAGCTTGGCAAGTCTTGATGTCCCCTTAAATGTTGTACAAAAAGGGGAACTAGTCTCTTTTTTAACAAATTGCAAGCTTGAATCATGAAAGGAGTGATGGGATTATTGTCAAGTCTGATGTGTGCACCCACAAGGTTGGGCAGGAGATTGAAAACATAAAGGCTATCAGAAAACAGATTAAGAGGGCTTTGGATCTCAGACAGAGCTAATACAACAGTATAAAGCTCTTTAAACTG